AAGAGAATAAAGTACTTGAGCCATGTATCAGCAGATGACACTGAAATTGGTCAGACGGTGCGGAACAGCGTCAGAAACCCAACCCTTTAAGATCTAAACTTAGTGTTCAGGTTTTTCTCTACAAAAGAAACCCTTCTATCCATAAATCCTCTGGTGGGCAGGAAATTAGAAAACATGCACGAAGAATTTCCTTACCTTGGCGAATTTCTCAAATGCATCGTTGGCTACTTTTAGTTGAGCAGCTGTCAGGTCATCGCTTAGGTGCATATGCTCAAGTTCGAGTTGCAGCCGATTCACTTTTGCTTCTTGGTCTTTTATCTCTATAAGCTTTTCCTGACAAATACTGATCATTTTCCGAACCTGAAATACACTTCATTATAGATTTAAAGACGCATTGAGTGGTGGAGATACCTGGTCAGGTTTCTTTGATACGGAAAATGTTGCCGTCCATGCTTGCAAGGGTTGCATCTCAGCTGTCAGCTTATCCACATGTCGTAGAAATCTTTCCACAATCTGACATGGTACGATTTCAAAAATTAAGCGAAAGAGACCGGAATATCAGAATATCAGCACTAACCTGATGAGTAGGTTCCTCCGTTTCGGTATCTGTCGTTGTTACGCTTGGATCTGCTACGCGTCCCTCCACTGAAGTTGTTTCCGCGGACGACTACAAACGCTTCTGTTCAGAGGGCCAATCAAAATTTAATAATGAGAAAAAGCAAACCTCGTTCGGTTCCACAATGCGAGCTGCTTTGAGGTTTTCTTCAATTCCGGGTGGGGCGATGGGAACGGGAGGAGAGGCGAACTGCCGAACATCTGCTTTACCACTTTGTACAAGCTGAAGAAAGTGATCAGAGATCAGATCGGATCGGAAGGACTACAAAGTACATTTCAGAAAAAAATTGTGCCGTAGGAATGTAAGATAACACTCACAAGCTCATTCGTTTGGCTTTGAAAATTTTTTCGAAAAAAAACTTACATTATATATAAATCATCATTAATCCAACTGCACCGCCTTGTAACGAATTATGAAAAAGGCTTTGTAAGAAGAAAAGAAATAGATTTTACATTTACTACCACTAAATCTACTAAAGCTACTCTCTACCCTGGTCTCATTAGGGCCCCTTCATAACCTTTTTGATATCACTTCTCAGGAGACTCTAAAAAGAGATAGAGATATAAAAATGTCATATGCTCCCGTGGCTAATGCTCAGGAGCGATGTGAATTGTAACATGACACAAAGAAGAAAATCTTATAAATCATACATATATTGGTAGAAGAAAATTAAGAGTGAACGAGCACAAAATTCAAAACTGAGTGATTTACATGAATCTT